TATGTATCTAACCAACAATTTAGGGATTAATAATGCCTCTTGCAGGAAGTATTCCTTTAATCTTGCCATATAATTGTTCGCCAAGCTGGGAGACAGACAATATCCCATCGCTAATCCTTGCGTTTGTTCGCATAACTTACCATCAAGGGTAAAATATGTGGTACTCAAATACCACACGTTCATCACATTAAATGGAATAGGGTGAATACACTTATTAGTATATCTTGATATGTCTTTTATGACCGTTACATTAATCTCACCAGACAACAACAATGGGTTCCCTTCATTCCGTTGTACTTTTGTCATACTCACACGTACAGATTTGCGCAGTTCTTTAGACACAACCTCCTTTGGTTTCAGTTAATACGAGTTCAGCTTTCAACTATCTTGTTATATGACACACACATTATTGTGAGAATCTCGAGTTTGAAGCATGTTAAGCAATCTAACAAGCTAGTCTTGTTATGGTGTGGTTATTCATAAAACTAATGGCAAGTATACAACGACTTGGTCATTCGCCTATGCTTTATATACGAAACCAAAATGAGTATCTATGTGATGTATTCACCTTATTTCGTTTCAGATAATGAAGGGCTGGCAGTCAAATTTTCTCACAATCATATGAATAGAGCAGACGCTTCCACTGAATTTCACATAACATTGCTTTCAGTCAGCTCTACTCTTATGATTGTGAGAAAATACTACTACCAGTCATTTATAACCTCAAATAAAATATGGTGAACACAACTCATAGATCTGATTCACTGGTAGCCTCAAAGCCTGTTCAAAATGAAAAAAATCTGTATTCCGAATAACCAAAATCACTTTTTAACAGGTTAATCTGGGTTTAAAGGTCTTGTCCTTTTGACTCGTCACTACTACTTCGCATTGCCGGACGTTCATGCATTCAGTTTGTCTACCTTTATGAGTGCAAGTCTATCAAGCATGAGAACACTTAGATCCTCCTTATCCTCACGTCTATCAACCAAGCATGAAACAATTTTGTTAAACTTCTTGCCCAGATTCCCAGCATCCTAAGTGCCTACTAGTCGAACGCTTGCAATTATTGCTCTATTGTCACGGTTTGCGAAAGACATACCCTAATCCGCATAAAAGATCCACTAACTCGAGGTCGAAAAAAATGATGAAGGACTGATTGTAGAATCATCCCAAGTCGACCATCCGCCTAAATTTGGTGGGGGCATTTTAGCTGTCAGTGCAATAGGCAATAAGCTGCACCTCAAGCATCTTGACAACATTGTTACCTGCCCATTATTTAGGCCCTAAACTGGCCTTAGCTTCTTGACGAGACTATTGTCAAGAGAGGACAACGCTGATTAACAAACCCATCTGTTGCATACACTACCTTGTAATTTTGCCATAAGAGCTGTCCTTTAGTTTTAAATTTAATATGGTCTTACTCTTAAAAAGGTATTCTCATCCAGGCTTAAGTGGGCGCCAATTTCGACCTTGCCCAAACTTGTCTCATCAGCACCCCCAGCCGGACTCTAACCCGGCTTAGGGTAACAGGCAATAATTGAATTTTCGCGGAAAGACATTGGTATTTGCCATATCACGTTTTTGTGGTGGGAGTATCGACGAAGTGAAAGTGTACTTGCCAAATTCCACTTCATAAGGAGGTTTTCGAGACTGCGAATAGATCATTTATATAAAAATGTATTCAGCCCATTTAATTTAAAGTGATGAATCATTTGTAGTTGATTTTTCCCACTAAATGCATGCCTGTCCTTCATCACCTTAAACCAATTCGGGTGAATACAGTTCTTATGTTGATTTAATGATCCATGTTGTGTTTAATATGGCTGATGATGTTGTTGATGTTATGGTTGTTGTTCTGCTTGATGTTGTGGGAGGCGAGCGAGAATCGAGTCAGAAGAACAGACTCTAAAAGGTTCAGTCCATTCCAGAAAGGCCTGTCGAAGGAAGCAAGGTTGGGTGCAATTCATCGGCTCCGTGTGGTTCGTTCTCGTATGCCCCTTTGGAAAATGGCTGTACCATCGGCAATCTTTTATTCCCGCTGTACCAACAGTTTTGAGGAGTGGACTCTTGGTCTCAGCTGGTCTAGTCGGGTCTAGTCAGGTCGGTTGGTACACCAGGACCGGACAGGAAATAACCAACATTCTTTGAGTCTGCTCTTCTGACTCTATTCTCGTTTGCCTCCCACAATATCAAGCGGAACATCAACTGAAAGCATTGACCATAACATCAGCAATAGTATCAACCATATTAAACACAACTTGAATCATTAAATCAATACAAGAACTGTATTCACCCGAATTAGTTAAAGGTGATGAAAGACAGGGATGAATTTAGTGAGAAGACTCAACTACCAATCATTCATCACTTTAAATTAAATGGGCTGAATACATTTCTTATAAATGATCTATTCGCGGTCCCGGAAATCTACTTATAAAGTGAAATTTGGCGATGTTGTTGATAGCTATAGAAAGTAAATTTTTGCTTCATTGATACTCTCACCACAGAAACGTGATATGGTAAAGGCCAATGTGTTTCAGCGAAAATTCAATTATTGCCTGTTACCCTAAGCCGTGTTCGAGTCCGGCTGGGGGTGCTGATGAGACGAGTTTGGGCGATGTCGAAACTGTCGCCCACTACAGTCTAGATGGGTATCAATTTTGTGGAGCAAGGTGACGTGAAATGCAATCAAGGCACGAGGCCAACTCATACGATTGTGGGGACATTCAACTGCCAGTCGTTCATCGGCTTGAAACCAATTAAGGGGAATGCAACCATAATATCATGTCTATTAATAGTCTCGAAAGCCTAAATATGGAAGGCGAAATTAGCGAGCATTCCATAGCAACACCGTTGACTACAACATGAATGATAACGCCAAAACCGGCAGCATTTACTACCAAATTAACCACTTAATGAGTCGCAAAATAATCATCAACATTGATTATACCAGCAGCAAAAGCATCGTACACAGGAGCAGACACGAGACAAACAATAGCGTCAACCTCAAATGCATCAGCAACAAGAACAACAACTGCTTTATCAACTACGACGTTTACGACCAAAAATATAATCAAGTCTAAAATAAGAAAGGAAACAAGAAGAGTATAAATCACGATGCTAAAAATAGTGCCAATCCCAGCATCGGCCCCGAAATCAACAAAATTCACAACAGGGACATTTGGAGTATTAAGGAGAATAAGAGTAAAGGCCAATGGCTTTCCGCGAAAATTCAATTATTGCCTGTAACCCAAAGGCGGGTTCGAGTCCGGCTGTAGGTGATGATGAGACGAGTTTGGGCGAGGTCGAAATGGTGCCAATACCAGCATGAAATAAGTTAACAAGAGAAATTGCACACTGAAATCAACATAACTCACAAAAGAGATAAGCAGAGTATTAAGGAGAATAAGAGTAATCACACCATCAAGCAGACAATCAATGACACAATCAAGAATATATCACCAACAGCCATAGGATTAAAGACAAATGAGGGAAGGTAAGAACAATCACCCCATCAAGCACACCATCACTCACACTATCAAGCATATCCCTGACAGCAACAATATCAACGACAGACGAGGGAGGATAAGAAGAATCACACCATCAAGCACATCATCCCCTACAGCATCAGGAGAAACCCTAAGAGCCACAGCATTAAGGGCAGATAAGGGAGAATAATAAAAGTCAAACCATCAAGCACAACAGCACTAACACCAAAAAGAATATCCCTTAAAGCCACCGATGTAACGACAGACAAGGCAGAATAAGAACAAACACACAATCAAGCACACCATCACTCATGCCAGCAAGCATTTCCCTAAAAGCCACATCATTGACGACAGACGAGGCAGAAAAATGACAATCACACCATCACTCACACAACCAAGCATATATCTAACAGTTAAACATTGACCACAGACGAGGCAGAAAATGGACAATCACACCATCAAGCAAATCATCACTCCCACCAGCAAGGATATACCTAAAAGACACACCATTACGGAAAGACGAGGCAGATAAGAATAAAAACACCATCAAGCACATGATCACTCACGTATGAAGCATATCCCTGACAGCCACAGGAATGATGACATGCGAGGCAGAATAAAAACAAGCACGCCATCAAGTACACCATCACACATATCATTAAGAATATCCGTA